TGTATGGAGGTCAAGGGTCACTGAACTTATCAAACCAAATTTGAGTTCCAGAAATTAGTTCTAAAGGTTTTGAAATCAATAAAATGACAACAGTGTCCAAATTTATGCACCTTCTTAATTTTGTTTAACCAATTATTTCACATTTTCTGTAAATCATATAAACTTCATTGCACTTCTCAAATATCACTGTTTGTCCCCTATATGGTATACTGTATTTAACTGATGTTTTTTATCCAAACAATCAATGATTTATAAAAGGTAAATCAGGAAAATTCACAAGGCTGCCCAAATTTTCGCACCCGACTGTACATCCAAAACAAAAAGACTGGACTTTGAACTACTTCAAGCTGTCCTGGATTGAAGTACTGTCACACAAAGAATGGATAAATTAATTTTGAGCTTTATCAGACTGGAAAGACTAACCTACATTGCTAAAGCAAACAAAAAAACTTTCACAAACTCTGAGAATGGAAATGTGATAGTCACGTTCTTAAGAAAGTCACAGAAAAAAGTGTCTGTTTTTACAAGTTTTTAACTTTATGATGGTGCGTGTGTCCAAGTAAAGCTTACTTAAAAACTGTAATAGAATATTGAAAATTACAATAATCATATTAAAACAAACATAGGCAGATAAAGATTAGAACCACTGAATGACCAAAGAAGGGCTCACCAGGTACTGGAGGTAGGCAGGAGGTTGGATGTGTATGGCACTGCAGCAATCGTAAACTTCTGTAAACCACTGCCACCCATCAGATAGGCAAAACCACCATGAGGAACCCTGGAACTGTGAAAAGACATTTATTAACAAAGAGTCACATGTTTTGTTTTTCTTCGTAATATGTAGTACAGTAGATCCAAACCAACCTTCCGGTAACAAACTGGAGCAGTGGAACACATTCTTCCTGGGTCAGGCTCCTCACCACCTCCCAAAACCACTGTAAAATACACACAGATTAGATAAAGAGGAATGAATGAACTGACAGAAAGACAAATGAACAAACAAGAAATGTATGGCTTGTCTAGCAGCCTACTTTGTTGCAGCAAGACAAAAATGCAACAAATAAAATGGAGGCAAATAAAACTGTGAAAAAAAGTATTAAAACTGTACAAAAATCATTAAAATGGTGGAAAAAATATCAAATTGTACAGGAAATACTAAAACTGTGCAAAATATGATTTAAACAGCGCAAACCAGAGATGGCATTAATTCCAATCACAGATGACAGATTTGTTGTACAGTGTGATGGCCTGAGGCAGGAAAACATTTTTGGTAGGTACTCTGACCCTGGCTTACAAAAGATGTCTCTTGCAACATAGAACATCACCTCTATGGAAGAAAAGGAGCCTGAGCTTCTGGGTGAGGTTGAGAGGTACCGACTACTTGAGAATTGGGCTCACCTTGACCAATAGCCTCAAGAGGGACTGGACCTTAATCCACTCTGGAGTTCCTCAAAAGGTGCCAGGTTGGTGTAGGTCCACTAAAGTTTCTTATAGTTTAAGTGGGCCATATTCCACATCTCCATTGTTGAGGCAGCTGACTTGAGCGGAGGCAAAAGCTCAGATGATGGAGGAGTTTGGTGAGCCCTCACGACTGGAGTTAGATCAGAATGTTGAAACTCAAATTTTTTTAATGCAAACATATCTCTCAGTGCTGGATTCCTTTCATTGTCTCACTGTCCCTTTTAAGAATAGATTTTTTTAGTTGTATTGCTGATCTGTATCCCTGAATGGAAAGGTTCCTGTATACCCAACTGACCTTTATTACTGTCCAGTCTATGTTCTTACTCATCATGATTCATATCATGCACTAAGTTCATGTTTTTTTCTGTCCAGTCCTTTAAGTTTGTACCTTATATCTGGACAGTCCAGTACAAATTCAAATGTTAGATAGGCTGAATCAGCAATAATAAAAAGGCAATCCAAAGTATACAAGATTGTTTTTATGCTATTAAACACATCTTTCCCAGCTTAGAGAAGGACCAAAGGCAGAACGATCGGATGCCTTGTTGAGCCAATCCACTGGTCTCCCAACAGTCAAGGTGTTTTTTTTTCAGGAGAGACTCCACTCCAGAAGTAAACCTCAATCCTGACCTGATTAATCCTGTCAGGAGCTGAAAAATTAATCTCTTAGAAAGGTGATCTTTCCATTTTGCCCTGGCAGATGGAATTCTGATCACCAAATCACATCACATTAACTCCTATCAGGGACATTATGCCTGCTTTTTGATACCCCACTGAATGCATTCCATATGCAACCATTGTACAAAAATAAAAAATTGTAGGCTGATATTATCAGACATTCCCTAATTACAACTCCCACTTGTGCTTCAAATAACATCTTATACATAACTCTAGACAGATTATACCTTTTCTTATACCTCACTCAAATGTGGTGGGCAGCACTAATCTAAAAATCAGTTCCAATTGCCCTAAAACACTAACTCAAATATTTGGGTCCCCTAATTCTAAAGCACAATTGCACTGAAAGTTTTAGCAAAAGCTAATTCTAAAGCATTAAAATAACCCAGTCAACCCATGACCATTCTTCAACAGACAACGAGTCACGTGTTAACATGTTGCTCTCTTAAGACTTATCATTGACATTCCACAGCCTTATTTGTGTTCATATATTGCCAATATGTCACCTGGTGGATCAATGACACACATATGAACAAAATGTGTGACAGCTTTCACACTCAGCTGTTAACATTAACGTTGATCAATAACATTTATAGACCTCAGTTAGCGCTTCTAAATTTTGCCTATAAATTAAGCAAGCATTAATCCACTAATAAATTTTAAAATTAGCAAAAGCCCTAAAGTACTAATCAGGAAATTAGTTCCCCTATTAGTGCTTTAGTGCTTTAGGGGAACTGTGCCCACCACTGCTATTAGGTCAATTTAGAGGCCTTAATCATCATCTACAATTTGCAATAAATGCAATTTCCAATTCTGTAAATAAATATCTCAAATATAAATTTTCTGCCTTTCATTACTGTGTGGTTTTATGGTCCCTTCAGACAAAAAAAGTTGAGTTTTAAGGTTATTGAAACTGAATATAAATAGTTTTTTTTTCCACAATGAGTGACATTATTTTATGAATTAATGAAATTATTGAATGTCCTTTCCTTTACACCTTTTTTTGTGCGACCCCCGTGAGGCATTTGCAATATTATAACTTTTCATTATAAGACACATTTGTAGCATCTCCTGCTGGGTTTCTGATGTTTTGTGAGCATAGGCTGTCTGCAGTAAAAATCCTTGAGAGGTCAAAACTTTTTGTTCTGTGAAACTTGTGAAATTATTATTTTTTCAGTTAACCGTTGGTTCATTTTGCACTTTGAGAAAAGTGCTGGAATCACTACTTTTCTCAATTATTTTAAAGCCGCTGTGAAGCCTGAATATCTACAGGAAACAAGCCTGTCACTTAGAAGTGAAAGCTTAATGATGGTCTGTGTTGTCTACGAGTGTACCAGCCCTGCGTTGACTATTAATAAAGTGGTTGCCATGCCTCTTTGTTTATGCAGTGCTGTGTACATGGACCCAGCCAGCTGATCTGATTATTTGCAGCAAAGAGCCATGATAGAGTTGTCAACATGTGGAAAAAAACAACTTTTCTGTTCTGAACACTAATTTGAACTGTGTGAATGCATTTTGGGGTGTTTGAAAGATGTGTATGGGATATTTAAAGCTGTGCTCATATTGTGAAAGCATGCAAGGCTTTATTTTCTGGTTGAGTGCAAAACTAAACAGTGTGTGTGCTTTTTCCACATTTGAAAGTGCATGTGATGAATCACTCCTTGAAAGTGCACTTCTGAGGAAGTGTTTTGTCAAATTGAGTAGCCATTTTTGTGAGAAGCTGAACCCAATGGAAAGGTGGTCCTAAAGGCGGACCTCATTGATTGTACATGTCCCGCTTTTTGTGTGTCCGCAGTTGATCTCTGCTGCAAAACTAAGTGCTCGGCTTCATCTAGTGTATCTTCATCTTATTCAATTTCTCCCACTTTGAAAGAAATAAGATATTGACACACCTATTTAATAAATTTATTTGATAAATTAAACCTAACCAAATACCTCAAACACGGTCATATGAGTTGTTTATGTTTTGACAATAAACCTTTATACTTTGTAAATAATGAGTGTAATTTGTGATTGAAATATGCTACCAAACAGTCAAACACTGTGGTCAAACAGATTCTGAACAATTTTTCTTCCTCGACTTGTTTCTTTTTTAAAAGTTTTTGTCAACTGAAGCTGATCTAAATGCATTGTAATTTTTATACTTTATCATTATGCTATTTTAACTATCCATATCTTTTTTGACAGCATAATGAGGGGCCCACCTGAATCACTGGATCCTGAAGATCATACCCACTGGTGTACTCAGTGTTCCTGTACCAATCCTCCACATCGATCTCTGGCATCCCTGACAGCAGGAGCTCCTGTGAGTACACACACAGAGATACACACACATTTGTTATTCTATCTCCATGGGGACTTTGCATTGACTTCCATTCATTTACCAGTCATTTCTATAGCCTAACCCTGACCCCTTAACCTAAACCTAACCTCACAGGTGCATACCTAACCTAAACTCAACTTACATTTTAGTCCTTTTTAGTCAAACCTCTGACCCACCAACGGTACCAGGTCTTTGTCACCATAAGGAACAGTGAGTGCTCACTGGGCCACACACACACACACACGTTTGTTTCTCGACCCCGTGGGGACCTTCCATTGACTTCCATTCATGTTTTTTGACTTTATAGCCTAACCCTGATCATATACTCTAAAATTAACCTCACAGAAACTTACCTGACCCTAAAACTAACATAAACCTTGGTCCTAAACCTAACCCCACACCTGTAACANCACACACACACACACACACACACACACACACACACACACACACACACACGCCATCAACCCCCGCCCAAATTTAACCACACTGACACACAGAAACACCCCACTACCACTTAGGGGAGTCATCACCTTTGAGTGACTGCAAGATTAGGGTGTTGTGATTAACTCTGACTGAATGTACATTACATGTGGTGAAACTTTTGTGAACAATGTCATTTACTCATTTGCTCTTAGTCTTTAACCCCCTTTTCCCTACCAACACACCCACAGCCCGCCTCCCAATTTTGCAACATATCTATGTCAGTTTTCAGTATGTAGAGCAAAATATTACTTCTTCTTGCTTGCTGGTGTTGGGCAGACAAACAGATGAGATCACAAACAGACAGGAGACAGAAGTGGAGGTGGCAGACCTCAAGATGTTGAGGTTCTACTTGGAAGTTAGAAAGATTAGGAATGAGATCATCAAGGTACAGCAAAGATAAGAAACTGGGAGATAATGTTAGAAATAGGGATGCACCGAGCCAAAGGAGGATCTGGGAGAGCCAGCTGCTAGGAAGCCTCACAAGGCACAAGCTTGCAGCAGTCTGGACAGTGTGTTTGAAGAGATCACAGATGAGCAAGAGTCATCTTCACTGAGCCAAGCACCAGTTGGTGCTGCAGTTCAGTTAGAGACCTATCTTGGAGAGCCTACAACTGCTCGGGAAGACAACCCACTGCAGTTCTGGGGAGTTAATAAAGTGCGGTTCCCTGATTTGGCTAAACTATCCCAGAGGTACCTCTCAGCTCCATGTAGCAGTGTCAAAACTGAGAGACTTTTCAGCTCAGTGTCACACATTGTTGATGTAAACCGAAACAGAATAACTGCTGGTAATGCAGAAATGCTGCTTTTCATAAAAAAAATGTCCCTCACGTTCTTACACCAAACTCGTACACTTTACAGGTATATACAGATATATCTTTTGCCCAGCCATTATTTTATTTTTTGTACAGTTAATTTAATTTACATTTAGGTGAAATGTGTGGCAAGGCTGTTTGTTAAAAAGATTCTGTAAGAGTTAAAATGTAAAACTTTTTTTGTACAAGTTTTGGACATACTTTACAGATATATACTATCATTTGTTCAACCATTGTTTTAATTTTGTACTGTTAATTTAATTCACATTTAGGTGAAAGATGGGGCAAAGTTGTTTAAGATTCAGAAAGTGTTCAAATGTAAAAATAACATTTGGTTAGATTTATTTATTTATTTTTTGTACATGCTGTTATAGTGTGGTTTTATG